CCCCCCCCCCCCCCCCCGGGTTAACTTAGTGCCACAACCTTTCACACTGGTCAGGAAAAACAACTGCCAATATTATTACCTCTTCATCTTTTAGGCCTTCTTCTTCCATCACTTTCTCTAACTTCTTTTGTCTAAAACAAACAGCAAAAATACAGGAAGTAACATTTAAATAACTGATAATTCTATTCATACATATCTGGTTTTGGGGAAAAATAACAAAAACAGTTAAGTATAAAATGTCTAATTAAAAGAAAAAAATCAGATTAAGACAAGTGACGATTCCTATCCTTGTTAAATCTATATTTCCAAGACTATAGAAGATGTTAATGCAACAAAAACTTTTATTTTATTTTTTTATTGTGAAAATACTGTACAGAGAGGTTACAATTACATGGGCAAGATAATGAGTACATTTCTTATCAAGCATTGTAGCCTCCTCCTTTGTTTCCCCTTCCCAACAAAAACTCTTTGTTTCAAAACCAAATCTTGGGCTGGGAAGGTGGCTCATTAGTAGAGTGCTTGCCTTGCATGCATGAGGCCCTTAGTTCAATTCCTCAGCACCACATAAGCAGTAAAAGCCGGAAGTGGCACTTGGGCTCAAAGTGGTAGAGCGCTAGCCTTGAGCTGAAAAGCTGAGGGACAGTGCCCAGGCCCAGAGTTCAGGCCCCACGACGGGACCCAAAACAAACAAACAAAAAAAAACAAATCTCCCCTTTCTCCCCCCTCCATTCTCCCTCTCCCTGTCATTTCCTTCTTACTAAACCAAAACCAGCTAGTATTTGGTAACTTCTCATGTCACAGTGTTTTCTCCCTCTCTGGCTAAAATCTACTTCCTTTATTTTTATATCTTCCTCTTCACCCTGCCACAAGCAGAGTAATAACCAACAAAGGAAGAGAAAATTTGGGGTGGGGGAGAGAAATGATCACAAAAAGCAAATGGTATGCGTGTCAAAACTTAGAACTTGGGGGCTGGGAATGTGGCTTAGCCTAGCATGCAGGAAACCCTGGGTTTCATTCCTCGTTACCACATAAAAAGAAAAAACCAGAGGTGGTGCTGTGGTTCAAGTGGTAGAGTGCTAGCCTTAAGCAAAAGAAACTCACAGACAGTGCCCAGACCCTGAGTTCAAGCCCCAAGACTGGCCAAAAAATAGCCAGTCTAGGCAAGAAAGTCCATGAGACTCTTATCTCCAATAAACTACTCAGTAAAAAACAGGAAGTGTGGGGCTGGGAAGGTGGCTCAGTGGTAGAGCGCTTGCCTTGCATGCTCAAGGCCCTGGGTTAGATTCCTCAGCACCACATAAGCAAAAAGAAAAAAGCCAGAAGTGGCGCTGTGACTCAAGTGGTAGAGCGCTAGCCTTGAGCTGAAGAGCTGAGGGACAGCACCCAGGCCCAGAGTTCAGGCCCCACGACCGGACCCAAAAAAAAAAAAAAAACAGGAAGTGTTGCTGTGGTTCAAGTGGTAGAGCATCAGCCTTGAGCAAAAGAGCTAAGAGACAGTGTCAAATACCCAGGTCCAGGACTGGACACCATACAAGCACACATGCACGCGTACATCTGGGCAGAAAAGTCCACAAATAAGAGTCCAAACAAGAGTCCAAACTAACCAGCAAAAAGCCTGGCTGAGCTGGGTACCAGTGGCTCACACATGTAATCCTAGCTACTCAAGACGCTGAAATCTAAGGATCATGGTTTAAAACCAGCCGGGGCAGGAAAGTCCATGAACCTCTTATCTCCACTTAACCACCAGAAAACCAAAAGTGGCATTGTGGCTCAAGTGGTAGAGTGCTAGCTTGAGCTGAAGAGTTGAGGGACAGCACCCAGCCCCAGTGTTCAAGCCCCATGACCAGCAAAAAAAAGCTTGGCTGGAGGCATGTTTCAAGTGGCAAAGCATGGCAACCTGAGCAAACCACAAGTCTAGGCCACAGAGCCAAGTTTCAGAGCAGCCTAAGCTAATAGTAAGACCTTGCCTCCCCCCAAAAAAGTCAAAGGAGAGAAGGTAGGAGGAAGGGTAGGAGGAAACGGCATCCAAGGTTTTCTTTTTTGTGCTGAGAGGTTATAGCTTCCCACCACTTGATCTTCAGTCTCATATTAGTTTTGTGGGTATTTTTTGCGCCCCCCCCCCTGCACTGCCCCCAGGCCTGGGCCTTGAACTCAGGGCCTGAGCACTATCCCTGAGTTTCTTTTGCTCAAGCCTAGTGCTCCACCACTTGAGCCACTTCTAGCTTTTTCTAAGTAGTTTATTGGAGATAAGAGTCTCACAGATTTCTTGCCTATGCTGGCTACCAACAGCAATTCTCAAATCTCAGCTCCCTGAGTAGTAAGGATTCCAGGCATAAGCCACATGCACCTGGCCTCATACTAATTTAATAGTTAAAAGAACCAAGTAAAACTTCCTTACAACCATTCTCAGAACTCCATTTATTCAGCATATTAAAGAAAGCACACCCTCTGTGCATCACCTTGATGATAAAATTAAAGAATAAAATAAAGAAAGCACAGCTGGGGGGGCTGGGAAGGTGGCTCAGTGGTAGAGCGCTTGCCTTGCATGCATGAGGCCCTGGGTTCGATTCCTCAGCACCACATAAGCCGGAAGTGGCGCTGTGGCTCAAGTGGTAGAGCACTAGCCTTGAGCTGAAGAGCTGAGGGACAGCGCCCAGGCCCCATGACCGGACCCCCCCAAAAAAAAAAAGAAAGCACAGCTGGCACAGCTGGGCTAGGAAGGTGGCTCAGTGGTAGAATCCTTGCCTCAAATGCATGAGGCCCTGGGTTCGATTCCTCAGCACCACATAAGCAGAAAAAGCCAGAAGTGGTGCTGTAGCTCAAAGTGGTAGAGCACTAGCCTTGAGCTGAAGAGCACAGGGACAGCGCCCAAGCCCAGAGTTCAAGCCCCATGACCGACCCCCCAAAAAATAAAAGTTTCCCGACTTTCCTGCTGGGCTGGCTTTGAACCACTATCCTCAGATCTTAGCCTCCTGAGTAGCTAGGATTTCAGGTGTGAGTCACGGACGCCCGGCTGGATTATGCTTTATATACCTACATGGATCCTAGTCTCCCTACTTTTTTTTCAAACTCCCAGACTGGACAGGAAAGCCTTGTAATATTCTTTTTTTTTTCTGGTCAGTCATGGGTTTTGAACTCCGGGCCTAAGCACCTATCCCTGAGCTCTTCAGCTCAAGGCAAGCACTCTACCACTTGAGCCACAGCATCACTTTCCTGCCTGGGCTGGCTCTGAACCATGATCCTCAGGCCTCAGCCTCCTGAGTAGCTAGGATTACTGTCCTGAGCCACCAACACTCAGCTTCTTGTGAGATTCTTTTTTTTCTGCCGGTTGTGGGTCTGAACTCGGCCTGGGCACTGTCCCTCAGCTCTTCAGCTCAAGGAGAGCACTCTACCACTAGAGCCATAGTACCACTTCTGGCTTTTTCTGCTTATGTGGTACTGAGGAATAGAACCCAGGGCCTCAGGCATGCAAGGCAAGCACTCTACTACTGAGCCACCTTCCTAGCCCCTCTTGTGAGATTCTTATCTTTAACTAACCACCAGGAGCTTGGAATGTGCCTTAGTGGTAGAATGCTTGCGGTGCATGCCTGAAGCCCTGGGTTTGATTCCTCAGTACTACAGAAACAGAAAAAGCCGGAAGTTGCACTGTGGCTCATGTGGTAGAGTGCTAGCCGTGAGCAGAAGATGCTCAGGGACATTGTTCAGGCCCTGAATTCAAACCTCAGGACTGACAAAAAAAAAAATGGAGATAGACCTTAAATGGTAGAGTGCTCTCTTGAGGAAAAAAGCTCAGGGACAGCTCTCAGGCCCTGAGTTCAAGTCCCAGGATTAGCACATATTAAAAAAAAAAGAAAAGAAAAGAAAGCACAAGAGCTATAATCTTACCACCACTTAACAGCCTTCCTGATAAGCAGACAATCTGAGCAGGGCTTTAGTCATGCACAAAGCACTTCAAACACCACACCAACAAGTTTGCTCTAACTCGAAAAGTCAGCAAAGGGATGATGTGATGAGATTTCTGTTCTAGAATGGCAACAAGCACAATGTGGATTTGATGGACTGGCAATCAGGAAAACAACTGAAAAGTTCTAAGGCCAACAGAAAGCTATCATATTGATTCAGATGTGCAATACACATATGATGTCAGGGATGGAAAACTACAATGAAGTAAAGGCATCGATTGCAAAGAAGACCAACCAGGTTTCCTTTCAACAATGTGTGTTTTACAATGTTAGACAAGAATGCCACAAAGTGCTAAGGATTATACTCAGGGCCTCACACAAGCTCAGCAGCACTTTACCACTGGGTGACAGACCCAGCCTACTGATATGTATTTCTTTCAAACATAACTCTTTACCTCATTTCTCGTTCTTCATGTTGGGCAATAAGATTGCTATAAAAATTCTCCAATGTCACTTTGGTCATCGTCACTCTTTCTTTTGTGTGGTTACTCATGGATGAACATGGTGTTGAACCTGTCATGGCCATGGCTTCTAGAAACAGAGAAGACAACTTAGTCGTGGAAGTAAGTATAAATTATAATATGTAACAAAAACCATTTAAACAGAATAATTGGTGAGAATAAGTACACATTAATGTCTTGTAAGTCAGAAACCCAACGCTTAAGACTTTCTAGTCTTGCCTGGCGCTGGTGGCTCACGCCTGTAATCCTAGCTACTCAGGAGGCTGAGATCTGAGGATCTCGGTTCAAAGCCAGCACGGGCAGGAAAGACCGTGAGACTCCTATCTCCAATAAACCACCC